GCCCTTGCCCCCCTTGCCCTTGCTGGAGCGACGTCTCCCACTAGGGGTAGACGCCGCGCCGACCGACTCAAGACCAAGCAGGTCGGCAGCAGCAGCAGAGGCAACAGAGGGCAGCAAGGGGGAAGGAGAGCACCCCTCAAAGATGGGGGTGCGAGGGTCACCACGAGAAGCACCTACAGCGACTATGCTCTTCTCCGCTGCGAGGAGGGCCTTCTCGAGGAGGTCGACGGTGAGGGTGGTGGGACAGACTGCGAGAAAGTGGTCCCTGATGACGCGAAGGGAGTCAGGGAGGCGCGCGACTACGTAGTAGAGAGCGATGTACATGGGGGGTGGGTTCTTAGCGCAGAACTCAGCAGGAAGGGCGGCGCGGTAGCGAGTGTCACTAGTGCGGAGGTGCGTAATGAGGTCAGCAACAGTGGGAAAGGCAGAGAGGTCAGGAAAGAGGTAGGGAAGCATGAGACGGCTCAGTGCAGCAGTGGCAGGGGAGGAGTAGCGCGCAACTACAGCGTCGTACAAGGTCTGAGCACTCTTGTACTGACTAAAGTGCGCACGCTCAGAGGTAGGGAGGTGGCGACGCACAGCAAGACGTGCAGCAGCATCGCGGGTGGCCCACTGAGAGCGGACAGTGGGATCAGCATCAGCAGCAGGAGCAGGAGAGGCGCCAGAGGTGAGGTCAAAGAGAGAAAGGCCGTCAGCCCTGTCGCACTGTAAGAACAGCTGCAGGTCGTCTAACCAGACCTCAAAATCAATGGCGCGACCCTCAGCGTCAAAAGCTAGGACACTAGGGGTAGCCATGGCGACGACAGCGACGCAGTGCAAGCAGTAGGGAAAGAGCTCGCAGTGTCAGTGGGACTGTGCTCACCAGGCAGGGCAGGTCGTGCAGTTCTGCAGAAAGGCGGCTCAGCGACCGGGCGGCTCGGGTGCACAGCGGCTTGGCTCCCGGGCGGCTCGGCGGCTGGGCGGCTCGGGCGCAGGGCGGCTCGGCTCCCGGGCGGCTCGGCGGCAGGGCGGCTCGGGTGCAGGGCGGCTCGGCTCCCGGGCGGCTCGGCGGCAGGGCGGCTCGGGTCCCGGGCGGCTCGGCTGCTGGGGCGGCTCGGCCGGGAGATGCAGGGGCGGGGCCGTCAGGTGCAGCGGCGGGTCGACCGGTGCAGCGGCGGGCCGGCAGGTGCAGCGGCGGGGCCGTAGGGTGCAGCGGCGGGCCGACCAGGTGAGGCGGCGGGCCGTAGGGTGCAGCGGCGGGCCGTAGGGTGCAGCGGCGGGCCGGCAGGTGCAGCGGCGGGGCCGTCAGGTGAAGCGGCGGGCCGCTGGGTGCAGCGGCGGGCCGGCAGGTGCAGCGGCGGGCCGGCAGGTGCAGCGGCGGGGCCGTCAGGTGAGGCGGCGGGCCGTAGGGTGCAGCGGCGGGCCGTAGGGTGCAGCGGCGGGCCGGCAGGGCCGCGTCAGAGGCGGCGGCGGGGCCACGGCAGTGGAGGCGGCGGGGCCGCGTCAAGCAGGCGGCGGGGCCGCGACGAAGCGGGCGGCAGGGCCGCGTCAGAGCCGGCGGCGGGGCCGCGTCAGTGGAGGCGGCAGGGCCGCGTCAAGCAGGCGGCGGGGCCGCGATCAGGAGAGGTGGCGGGGCCGCGTCTGAGGGACAGCGGGGCCGCGAGGGAAATGGCGACCCGAGGGGTCGCTAAAAAAAAAGGCGCGCCTCGGGGCGCGCTTCGGTGGGCCCTAAAAAAAAACGGTCCTAAGGAAGGACCCGCTCTATACCATGTGAAACAAGTGAACAGGAATGAGAATGACTAAGTCAGAGTTGGGTACAAATACAACCCTAGAAAGCTGTACCCCATATGTGCTACCCCACTATAGCCTACAAACATGCATCAGCTATAATACTCTCACAGCCGCAGCGTCCGCCTTGCTTTGACCCGAGTCAGCGACGTTGCGGAGCTGGATTTCCCAGGAAATGCAGCTCCGCAACGACACTGACTCGGGACAAAGCAGGGCGGGTCTGCGACTTCAGTGGCATTATGCATGGCGGAAATCGCCGTCGTCGTCGTTGGGTGAGAGCTTGGACCGTCGTTGTTAAGAGAGAGCTTGGTCGATTGAAGGTTCCGTCGGATGGCCTCTCACGTCGTTGGTCGCCTGCAGGGTCAACGAAGAACGCGTTAGTATTGTTTCCTTCAAAAAACATTTAAAGCTTAGAAACAGAGGAAGCTAAAAAAAAGAGCGAAACGGTTATTTAAAATAGGAAGACTACACTTACGCCAAGCGTCTTCATCTCTTCGTGAAAACGTGAAGACTTCACGCAGCGACGGTGGTAGCTCCTATCCGCGTTCGGTGGTTGTTGACGGTTCAAGTGTTAGCGTCGGCGTTGACACTTCGAGTCAAGACGGTCGCCAAGAGGTCTGCGTGGAATAAAGAAAAAGGTTAGCGCTTGAATAATGTTGAACGATTTAGAGCTTAAGAAATCAACCGGCCGAAAACGGTTGCAAGAAGAAGTTGAAAACAAGTTGCACTTACCCCCACTCGACTGTCTTAATGAGACGGGGCCACCGATGGGGAAGGCCACTTGAAGCACTTGGAGCCGTGAAGATGTCGCCTTGGTCGAGCTTGAATGGAAGATCTTGGCTTGAAGATCTTGCGCGTGAAGATCTTGGCTTCAATGTCAGCGCTTCGAGTCTCGCCAAGACGGCCAAGAGGTCTGCGGGAAGAAGGCAACATGTTAGAATCTGTCGAGCGATTTATGACAGGAAGAAGACGAAATAGTCGCCGCTTACCTTCACTCGACAGTCTTCGTGTTGGTGCAGAACCGCGAAGATGTCGGCGTGGAAGTTCTTGGCGTGAGAATCTTGTCGCCGTGCGGATCTCGCTGCGCAATCTTGATTTTGCCGCAAAAACCCCGTGTTAAGGGGGCTCAAGTGTTAGTGTCGGCGCTTCATGTCTCGCCAAGACGGTCGCCGAGAGGTCTGCGGAAGGCAAAAAAATATAGATTACCACTTGAACTATGCTGAACCAATCGGAGCTTAACTTGCCAAAAAACGGTTGCAGCAATAAGTTTAAACAAAATGGACTTACCGTCTCGTGAGATTTGTCTTGGCGGCAGCGAGGAGGGAGGCCGCGCCAGTAGGGGAGGCGCCATGCGCACCTTAAGCTCTTGAAGCTCTTGAAGCTCTTGAAGCTCTTGCAGCTCTTGCAGCTCTTGAAGCACTTGAAGCTCCTGAAGCCCTTGAAGCTCTTGAAGCTCTTGCAGCAGCGATCTTGAAGCGGATGCTTCGTCATTAAGATCTCGCCGCGAAGATATCGCCGTGGAAGTTTTAGGCATGAAGATCTCGCCGTGCAGATCTTGCGGTGATATCTTGAATTCGTCGCGGTGAAAAAATCTTGCAGCGAAAAATCCGGTTTTGTGAAAGGTTCAGCCTTAGGCACTTGGCAGCTCGCTCAGACTCTAATCTACCCAACCCATCCCAACCACGCTAATCTACACGAGATTCTCTACGCGACCTAACGCTGCCGCATGCCTAAGCTTTCCCCATTCACTAGCCGGGTGGCTTCGGATTTCTTTGGATTGCTCCGAGGAGCGAGTAGCCAAAAGTCCAAAAGGAGCTCATTAAGTTAGGAGCTTTACTGGAAATCGAACATTGAATTCGTGAAGAACTGAAATGAACGCCACGGAAGGGACTTTAGATGAACAGAAGTGAGTCGAGAGAGTGAGGAGGATGAGGCAACTGAACGAGAATGAGAGAGTTTGTTGGTTAGCAGCACCACAGCGCGAAACAGCGCGGCTCCAACCCAAATGTGATGGGTCAATGTCGTAAAGCGGCTGAAAGTATTCCCTGTCAGAATGGATCAACCCTACAGTGGCGAATTCCAAAATCCCCCGCCTATGAAGTGGCATGGACGGTATAATCGAGCCGCATGGTCTGGCAAATGGCGGCCCGAAATTCTGAGCCGAACCCCCGAACGAACCACGCTGTACATCTCTTTCACAAACTCGTTGATTTTGTAATTCTGGTTGTGTTGTTCTTTCTGCAAACGAAGCTGCTGACGGCGCGTATCGTTTGGGAGAGGTTGGTTGAGGACCGTGGGTTTCGAAGCAGTACAGTTTGGGCCAGGGCAGGCTTAGAACTTTCTAGGAGGTGGTAGACGTGGCGCTTCTCTAAATATGAAGTTACGAGTTTTTGCGTGAGTTCTGCGTAAGGTGCGGGACGGCGGAGGGATAGTTCGGAAAATCCTGCGTGACGCGGAAATTTTAGCTTTTCTCCGCATTCCATTTTGCTGCTCCGAACCTGACTTGGGCAGCTGAAAATACGAAGGTGATCTTGAAGGTATTTAGCTAGCCAATAGGAATGAAGGGTGTTTCCACGGCAGCACCGAATGTTTCTGTCACCCTCACGCAAGCACCAAGGGGTTGAATCCCCGACCTCATAATTTCTCACCTGCCATTCCTAATTCCTCTTTTTCAGCATTATGCAGTTCTAATACAGTAGTTACTCTCCCCTTGGATCGAGTCAGCGAGGATTAGTTCTCCTGTCACCGTTCATCTCGCTACCGTCGCTTACTGATCTTTGGAGGCAAAAGCGGTAGTTCGTTTTTCCATGGAGTCCCTGATCTTGTTTCCGTAACTAGTTGGATCTCAGTACCTTGAAGTCTTAATCGCGCTTCGGTCCTACTTCAGCGTTCGCCGCTTCACACATCTAGTGCGGTTACTATAGCTAACTCTTTGACACTAGTTGCTCTCCCTCCAGATTCGCGCCATTAGCGGTAGTTGTGTACTGGTAAAATCTGCGGGTAATGAGACGACTTCTGAGGCGCCTCAAAAGCCATTAGCGGCAGTTGGTGTACTGGTAAGATCTGACGTTTTTTTAGCTCGAGTATCTCAACGTTCATTTGCGTTGCGAATTTTAGCGCCGATTTGCGGACACATTCGTGACGATTATTTTATTGAGACTTTTTTTGGGTCGAAAAACAAAACTGCTGACAAATTCGCTACTTTTATCATTGGAGACTTATCCTGCAAACGCATGATACAAACGCAAGCCACATTAGCCTGGCAGATGCGCAAGAAAGTGGGAAAGGGGAGGTCGGCAGGGAAAAGTGGGGTAAGGGAGCGAATGGGAAAGGAGTGGATCAGTGAAAGTCGTTATTTGAAGCGCGTTAAGGGACGCCACAAGGGAGAGTCCTCTTTCTCATTTTTTAACCTATTTCCCTCCCCTCTCTTCCCCTGGTCTTGCCTAGTAACGTCATACATCTCTCATCCCCCACGCTCTCTCTTCATCTCCCCCGCTCTCCCCCACGCCTCCCCGCTTTCCCCTCAGTAGCCTGCGTGCGCCGCTTATCCCCCCGTGCTCCTTTGCTTCTCCCCTCCCTCTGCACCCACTTCTCATCTTCGCTCTGCTCACCCCTCGTTCCCCCTCCTCTCCCCTTTCCCCCCTATTCCGCTCCCCTTCCACCGCCCCCTCATCATCCCCCATTTCCCTCACCTCCTTTGCCCCTTCATGTCCGTCCTAACCATCCCCCATCCCCCCTCCCTCCCCTCCGCCTTCCCCCATTCACTCCTCATCTGCCCCCACCCATTCACTCCTCGTGCACATCCCCCATCCATCCCTCTTACCAGGCAACCAAACCCCCCCTTTCCACCCCGCTCCCCCCTCCCCTCACTCCACGCTCTCCTATTCCCCCCTCCCCTCTCCCCCCCCCATCTCTCATTCCACCTCCACTCGCCCCTCATTTCCTTGCAGCTTCCCTTCAATTCCCTCCACGCCCCTCTCCCGCTCAATCCCCCATCTTCCCTTCTGCCCGCCCCTAGGTTCTTGCATCAGTCGTGTCATGTCAGTGAATCCCTTTGACTATGTGACTTCTTGCTTACACCTGATCTGACCTCTCAGTGGTTCTCTGTGTGACAGCTGGCC